TCAGAACTTTGTCCTTTGTCACATTCCTATGCTCTGGGAAGGTAAGCTTATCATTGCTTGATGACAAAAACTGCTTAATAAGCACAATCAGTAACTGCAAACTCAAGAGATCTTATCTTTTTATCACTCTGAGACTTTTGTCAAGCTTGTGGTTAGTCTGGGTTAAAGAGAATAAGATCACATTGCTAATTTATTTCAGACCTCAGTAGCGCACGGGTTCTCTAAGTGTCTTCTACTAAGGATTTTCAACTGTGCTAACGAAGTCCTAACAGGATCAGTCCTACCCAGAATATCTTACGCTGGAGAAACAAATGAGTTTAGATGTTAAAAGAATCAACTGGCCAATAGACTCTTGTGTATCATGGCACAATTCTTATGTGAATGAGCTTTCTTCAGAGATTATCTGGACAACTTCATGAAAGGAGATGCGAATGCTCTTATCTTTGAAAAATTTCAAAACCCCAAATCTCATCCAGTATAAAAATTCTGATTTTTCTTTTGAAAATGTTAGTTCATTAATATCAACTGTGGTACTGTAAAAAGTATAGTTAGTATCAGTTACTGAGAAGAATACACTGAGAACACACTCTTTTAGACACAGTATTTAGTGGGATTTAGAAAATATATACCTGCTCTTTAGAGTGCCTACAATTTAGATGTGCCACTAAAAGTAAGAGACATTAAGGTCAAACAAAGTTTCTACTTGATATTTAGATTTTCAGACTTATCACCATGATATAAAATAATATATTTCTATCTATGTTTTTAACAGTATATGCATTGTTAAATGATATAGTGTAGTATTTATTTTACATATTGCTGACACGCTGCATTTGTAAATATCTGAGTATGTTGGACTGCTCACACATATAACTATTGTACACTTTGGGAGTTCTAAAGAATCAATGAAGTTTAAATCCGTCCTTTCTTCCGAAGACTTGAAAGACATCATCTCCTCTTATATGGTTGATTTTCCTTGTTTATCTATGGAGAATGAATTATAAATGGAAAAAGTGAAAGCAGAAAGTTAGAAATCACTTGTAGTCCTGTGGAGGGATTATGCTGATTTGGGTCAGTTGCAGCTGAGATTAAGTGAATAGATTATGTTGAAAATAAAACACAGACACAGAAAATTAGATCTTCTAGCTGACAGATTTTAACAGTGGTCATGCAAGAGTTGGTTGTTAGTGACCACTGTCTAGATTCTTGTGGTTTCTGGTTTCTTTGGTTGTTATTAGTGAGACTTTGTGAGTTGAACCAAAAATCTTTCATGTATCTGAGAAATTACATAAGCTAATATGATTTCTGAGTTCCCAAGTTCTGACTGTGTATGATGCCAGGAAGCAAATGAATCATGTTGCAGAATAAAGAATGTGAAGGCAAGAGTATTTTAGGATGTCTCAAATATAGACCATGTATATGATAATTTATTGAAGATGATCATATCAAAGATGGCAGGAGAGAAGATACGTTGGAGAAGGATTTTCTATTATGAAGTGAAATACGAATAAAATGTAAATGTGAAAGAAGGGATAAGAAAGAGATTGATGAGAGCTATACTCAAAAAAGTTGCAGCTACTTGTATGACAGAAGAATTAAGCGAACACAATTGATGTCCAGGCATACAAAACAGACATTGGATCTAAACATTTGCTCTATTATACTAGTACCCAGGATGAATATAAGAACATCCAAAGGGGGCAGAAAAAATATTTTAGCTGCCTCTGCAGTCATTGGATGCTAATGTATTCAGATTTTCCTTAAATTGTCTATGCATTAAGTGCTAGTCATAGCTATAAGGGATACTTTTAATGTTATATTTCAAAATGTTACTGCAGGCTGAAAAGTTTTGGTTTAGTACTTGAGCATATCTGTTCTATAGGTACAGAAGTAATTTTGTTGGGATTGATTAACTACCCAGATTTAAAACATTCAGGGCCAGTGAGCTAGCTCAGCATGCTAAGTGCCTGCTTAGGCAAGTGCAGGGAGCAGGGTTTATTCCCTAGCTCCACATGCCACACTGGCCCTGCCTCTGGGCTCGCTGAGCCAGCTACTGAGAAAAGGTATGGTAGCACATGCCTGTCATCCCAGGACTTGGGACACTGAAAACAGGAGGATCACTATGAGTCCATGCTGCATAGTGAGACCCTGTAACAAATACATAAAAATAAATAAAATAAAATAAAATATTCAAATTGTAGACTTATAGTTCCCAAATGATTTTCAGATGGAAAGCTTAAACACTGGGTAAGTTAAAAAGTAAGTCAGAATTCTTATCAATATATTTAATAACAAAAGGGTAACAGAGGCATTTTTAGGCTAAAAAAGATAAAATGAATTATTGAAAGTATCCAATAAAAATGATAGATTTGAACTCCCTGCTAATTTCAATGACACATCCCTTAGCATTTTCATGCAAGAAAAGCTGAAATTTTCCTACCCTTCCTAGATTCTTATGTAGGAAAAAAGAGCTACGTTAGTTTTAATTTTCTCTAAATCCTTGAAGTATTTTAAGGGTGGAAAAGAGAGGATTATTGGGAACTGGACTTTCCCTCTTGTGGGGCCTTACCAGTTTTAACTGTCTTGTTTGTGATCTCATCTAAATATGTTCTGATCCTTAATCCATAGACAATAAGTATTGGAAAGATGTTTTTGTTTCACTTTCTCATTTCAAGGATGAGGAGACTGAATTCCAGCATGTATCCTTGTCACCGTGCCTTTCTAGTGGCAGGGCCAAAACTTGCTTTAGGTTTCCTGGAGAGTCACTGCACTTAACTTCCATCACTACACCTCATCTCATGTTGGGCCGTGGGTTAGAGATTGGGCACCAAAGGGGAAAAAGTGCTGACAAAATAATCTTCAGAAATAGAAGGTGGATGCCCCTATGTTTTTGTGTGTGCACAGTGGGCCTAGACACTTTGCCCCAAGAGCTCTTTGTGGTTTACTGCTGCCATTCTAAGGTCTCTGGGAAATTCACTCTCAACATCTCTAAAGGAACTGAGAATCAGTCCACTGATCTTATCTTTTGCAGCAGTAGAGACAAATGCATCAAAAGAACAGTTATGCAGCATAATTAATTTTTAGACAAGTCTCTGAGCAAAATGCCCTTCATTTGCTCCAGTGTAGACTGAACCTCTTTCCGTGCTGTTCACTATTTTCTTTCTGCCCATTGCTTGGTTCCACCCTCAGGTTGGTAGGCTTGAGTGTGGGACTGTGAACAGACAGGAAGTTACTGTAGGAGACTGGGGTAGCAATTACCATTTGGCCCTGTTCTACCTGATGAGTGTGGCTTGAGGCTAGCACCGGGTTATCAGCTCTTGCTAGAGAATTGGACAGCTGGTTGGTGCTACCCCCAGACTGAGCCAACACCTGGGAGCTCCTAGGGCACACAGGCTTGGTGGTATAACCGTGTGTTGCATTAGCATTGCCCAAGATGACCTGGGCATCTCACAAAATAAGGACTGTGGATCTTGGACGCTGTACTCTCAATTTACTTTCTCACTTGGACAATAACACAAATTGAGAGTCTTCTGAAGTGTGGACAGCTCCATGCCAACAGACACAGTAGGGCCATCAGAGACGGGGCAAATGGGTCCTCCTGCATGATGCTAGTCTTAGTACTTTTTTTTTTTTTTAATCTTTTCATTCTTTCCCCAAATTTAAAGTACTACTTTCTTTAGTGAAAGGTGAAAAATTTATACAATCTTAAGAGAAGTCATAGTATAAAGTTCTACTTTCTTAAAGTACTACTTTAATAAAGCAATATGGCAAGACATATAATGATGTTTAACTGTTTTGACCATGTGCCACTTTTACATAAAAGCAAAATTCTGAAATTAACACCAGTATTCATTATTAGTGGATTTGCTTTAATAAATCATGATAGCCTAGCATGGTTGCACAAAATAATATAATAAATAAGCACACATCTGGAAGATAAAGAACAAAACATACAAAAATTATTTCTATTTCACTGGAAAAGTGGATATTGTTTTCTTAAGAATTCTTTATACTTGTTTAATCTTCTTAAGAAAAAAGATAGAAATTTGAAAACTTAAGAACATCATGCTAATAATGTTCTTCAATTTCAGACTGAAATTTTGTCGTATTTTTAAACAATAACAACCAAAAAAGGGGAACAATTTGAACTTAGAATTTAGAAGTAGGGAATCTCCAACTAGGCTAAAGTCACTGCAGTTTTTTCCTCCTGTGACCCCAGTGTGGCTCAAAAGACTCGCCAGATTCCTATGAGTTTATAGTTTATCTTAAAAGTCAGCAAAAATCTGAGGCCTTACTTTTATCCCCAGGCTTTGATCCAGTTATCAAGGAATAAGGCTTGGAGAAGACCCATCACTAGATTTTGAATGTAATTGATTTTGTTCTCTTCCTCTCCAGCAGGGAGGTATAATACAAATATCTCCTTATATGTGATCATTCAATTTTAGTTGCAGCTATTTTGGTCTTTTAAAAGTTACCCTCCCCCAACTTCTTTCCTTGAATCTTTTCTTGTTTAGCTGAGGGTTACTGATACTTCAATTTCGATTTTAGAAGAAGATGCTTTGAGGGGGCATTTTATGATCTGATAATCAGAACTGTAACCCTTCTCAACCTGCCACATGTATCTGAGTAGCACTCCATTCTTACACAAATTATATGTATCACTCCACATGTCTTTGTTTAGTATTTATCTCATTGTGAAAGCTATAACAGGGCAGGAATCATATGTTTGATTCCTACTATCTAAATATGCTACTTAATATTTAATACTTTACATATCATATATTTATATACGACACGTGCATTTCTGGTTGAAATTTTTTCTAGGACTTAATTTTACCTTTTAGCATTTTTAAAATCATTTGCTTGCATATAAAAATATTTTCATTTTAGTGCAATACAGGTGCTTTTGTGAAGAGATCACTTTCAAATTTACATGTCTTTATTAGGACAACATTTTCATAAAATGTTGATTTTGCTTTGCTTTCTTTTTTTCTACCCAGGAGAAATCAATGATACTACCAAGTATGAGATGTTTACGTTTCATCGTGGAGGTGTACAGGTTTTATGCAAATACCCAGAGACTGTCCAGCAGTTTAAAATGCAGTTACTCAAGGGAAGACATATACTCTGTGACCTCAGTAAGACAAAGGACAGTGGAAACAAGGTGTTCATCAAGAATCAGATATTCTGTCAACTTCAGTTATCCAACAACAGTGTTTCCTTTTTCCTGAATAACTTGGACAGTTCTCATGGCAGCTATTACTCCTGCAACATTTCAATCTTTGATCCCCCTCCTTTTCGACAGATTCTTACAGGAGAATATTTGCATATTTATGGTAAGACATGGATTTTTCTTTGGAGCTTAAGAGGCATATGCATTTTGACAACTTTCTCACTAATGAAAACAAACAAGTAACTTTTGTGTTGGGGTTTAAGTGTAGTTCATGGCAAATTATTTTTGATGAAATATACCAGGGGTGGCTTATCATTAATAATAATTAGAATTTATTGGCAATATACAATTTAATCTCATGGGTTCTTGAGTTAGAATTAGGTCATGTTTGCCTTCAAAACACATATGCCATTAAAAGCAGGAAAAAATGAAGACAAATATACAAAATCATAACTTAATGACTGTTACTGCTGTTCAGTTAAGGCATAAAGCAAAATGAAGAGAGATGATTGAAAACCGAAGTTTTATAACATTACTTTCCTACTTTTGTTTGTGTGTGAAAGTATAGACAGAGTATTCCTTTCTATTCACTGCATTCATAAACATAATATTTGCATAGTCTTTTATGTTTTAGCTTCTGGACCTTTGCTATAATATTGAAGTTTTATAATACTAAGATGCTATAATATTGAAGTGATGTTAATTTCTACTTACTGAACTTCATGATTGTAATGAAGGAAAAAGTGCTTTAACTATACAGTTCTTAAATTAAAATCTTGTGATTTAGCACTGACAGAGATTTGATTTTCAAAGATTTTCATAAATGCTTTTCTTTCCCAATGCAGAATCACAGCTTTGCTGCCAACTGAAATTCTGGTTACCCATAGGGTGTGCAGTTTTTGTTACAGTGTACAGTTGTGGATGCATATTAATTTATTGGCTTAAAAAAAAGGTGAGCACTTTCTATTTTTTTCTTTCATGTATTTACCTGAGTAGAAATTATTTTCTAGAGTAATTTGGTCAACAGATAGACAGTTTGTTTTCCCCCAAGATAGGCTTACTGATTAAACTAATAACTTGGACCAGAGCTCCTTGGTTTATTTTATGTCGTACTTCATTTCAAAAAGGACTCAATGGCTCAAATATAGGTTATTATTGCTATTACACAAGAAGGATAAGGAATTAGGGCCAAGGGAAGGCAAGAGGTTAGGAAGGAGGTTATAACAAAAATAGATGCTTCTGATTTTTAAGAAATTATTAACTGGTAAATTAAGACAAATATGAGGAAGTCTTATAAGGTGTCAATGACAGTTGAGAAGGTTGATAACTTTACATGGTAGGCTACCTGACTCCTTTCTTTTAAAGAAAACTGCTGGAAAACTGTTTGGAAAGATAAAACAATAACAGTAATAATCTCTCTTTGTTGTGGGGCTTTCTTTTTAATCTTTCACATTGAGATTCTCAGCCAAATAACTTAACTCTATACTGCAAGCCATGTGAAAGTGACAGCACCCAAATGTATGTGGTGAGGACAGATTTTTGCATCTCTGCCAAACTAGAATTTTAAAAGAGGGTAAAGAAGGGTGAATGAGGGGCTGGGAATATAGCTCAGTGGCTTAAGTGCCTGCCTGGCAAGTACAAGGTCCTAAGTTTGATCCCCAGTACAAAGAAAAAAGAAGGGAGAATGAGGCTCACAAGTCCTACAAATCTTTTGGGAGAAGGAATGGTAAAGGTAAAAGTGAAGAAGGAAGCTCAACAGAAAGCTCTGGCCTGGGGAGATAGCTCAGTAGAATAGGCACTTGCCTGGGAAGTGCAGGGTCCTGAGTTCAATCCCTGGTGCTGAAAAAAAAAAAGAAAAAAAAAAGAAAAAAAAACCTTTTGTATTTTTATTATTTATTCTTTTTGATGCAAGGTCTTGCTGTGCAGTAAAGACTTGTAGTGATCCTCTTGTCTCAGCCTCCCCAGCGCTGGGATTACCGGCATACACCACCACGCCTGGTTTCGGGATCGGCCTGTCGTGTCTGGGGTTCTGGGGCTGGCACAGCATGCGATGTCAGGGATCAAACCCAGGTCCTTGCACTTGCCAGGCAGGCTTTATGCCTCCGAGGTACCTCCCCAGCCCAAGGAAAGCTCTTTTCAGTTCAAACCCTTTTCATGGCATTCTCTTACTTGGTTTGCGGCTGAGAACCCAAGTCAATGGTTACTCTTTCATCATTTACAACTTCTACAAAGAATAGAAAACAGTCGCAAAACAGGTGGGGATCGGGGTGGAGCAGATGACAAATCATGTTTGCGACTTTTTCTTCCAGAAGCATGGATCCAGCGTGCACGACCCGAATAGTGAATACATGTTCATGGCTGCAGTGAACACGGCTAAAAAACCTAGACTTGCAGGTACAGCTTCACATGGCGGTTTGGGTAGGGAGGAGAAATTTTATGATAAACCTGAAATTTTAATTTTTAATTTCAGACAAAAGGTCCTGAAGGCTTCTTTTTAGTAGTATTTCCTGTGAAAAACTGGTTTTTTCATTTGAACTGAATTTATATCTTTTGTAGTATATTGAAAGTAAACAATATATTTAAATCATTACTGAAATTAAATAAATGGAAAGGTCATAAGCCCTGATTTTATCAATGTAAGTTTCTACCTGGGCTTTCAAAAACTGGGATGATTCTAAAGCTTCCTTGTTGGAAGAGTCATTAAGAGTGGGCATTTACTGAGTCTTGGTTAAGTGCAATTGTTGAATGTGGCCATGTGGGGACCATGCAGGTGGATAGGAAGACTGCACTGAGAGATGTGGGCTGATGTTATGAGGGAAAAGGAGAAAATGTTGAGGATTATGTAGTTATTTCAATGTAAAGTGTGTGCAGTTCAGGAAACTTGGATGGCTTCACTGATGTTAGGTTGAATTTTGACCTTTTTGTTTTCCTTTTTTGAGAATTAGAATTTCATGCTGTCAAGTTTGAGGAGCATCCACTGGAAAATTTGGATGTCTCATGCCTTTGAAGGTAGAATGATGTTAGGCACATAAAGAAGCACAAGCTACTGCATTTTTAAACCATCCAGTTGTTCTGGACAGTATCAAAAGAACACAGTAACTTGTGTTGTCATGGAGTTACAGCATACAAAAGGACCTAAAATTGCACTTTCAGCCCATTTCTTCCTATTTTTAGATGGCAGACATTGATGTTCAGTGTTGGTTTGGTTCTCTAGACAATTAGTACTATAGCTTTGACACTTGCAAAGAGCTTCGCTTCGTTACTGAAGAGATATATTTTATCTCAATCACTGTATTCATATTATAATGTTCTCTGTTAGTTTGGACTTCCTAAAGCAGAATGTGAGATAAGAACTTGGGTACAAGTAGCTCATTTGGGACGTAATCCCAGGAATTAGTGAGGAACAGGGACGGAGTGAGGTAGGCAAAGAGAGAAAACAGGTGGACTGTTGGGGATGTGTTACCAAGGTCTGAGCTCTAGGTCACAGAAGTCTGGCTTCCCTGGGCTTCTGTAAGGCATGGAGCAGGACTTCCCCCATCTGGCTTGTTCTCTGGAAGGACACAAGTAGGGTGTCCATCTATGCCATCACTGCTGGCTTGGAGCTGCCTGCAGGAGGCATTAACACTCCCTGATCTCTGTGCTGTGAGGGGGCTGGGTCCCAAGGGAGGAGTTGGGGCAATGTTTGTTTGTCCTATGCATTAAGTGTGGGATGGGTAAAACCTTCATGAAAAATGGAGACTTGATACTAGGTTTTGAAGAATAAAGATGAGTTTAGTTGGTGTGTGTGTGTGTGTGTGTGTGTGTGTGTCAGGGTGTGTGTATGTGTGCATAAGAAGGAAAGAGGAAAGCTTATTAAAATGAATTGGCACATGGAGAGCTTTCAAAGACTTCATGAAAAATTTCTGTTACAGATGTGACCTCATAATCCGGACCTCTAGCACCCAGGTGTGTATCACTCTGGCCAGTTTCCCAACATGTGAAATACAAAATTTCCTTACTTCCTGGACCACAAACAACCTGACTTGATTTGACTATGTATATCTCCTGCCTGTGTTTTGTTCAATCTGGATCAATAACTGTATCAGACAATAAGGATTTTAACAGACTGTTTCTGTACTGTCAAGTTCTCCTAAAATGGACATCCTCTTGCAACTAACCTTATAGAAAAAAGGTTTTGCTCACGTGTGCTCAACAAACTGACCTCGTTGGGATGGAAGTCCTGCTACTCTGCACCTGCTCCTTGCAATGCATCAGCTAGTAAAACAAACACATCTATAAAAAAATTTAAAAATGAGAAGGGCATTTATCTGTAAAGCAAACAGGTAGCCAAAGGCCAGCATTTGTGCTCATTTTATGAACAGACTACCTCTTCTTTCTGTAGGAATGGGATTTCTTTGTAATTCAGACAGTAGAGGGAGATGCTTCACAACTATAGCTATTTTACTTTGGAGATGTTGGTGCATGCTATGATATACTAGTACAGTAATAGCTACCCGATATTCTCCTCTGGTTTCTGAACCTCAGTTGACCGCTCCACCAAAAATTTAACCACCTTCTCTTGCCTTTAAATTTTTTTAAACACTGCTATCTGCCCACTTGACAGCCTGTAACCACTCTGAATAAGGAGCTACATCTACATTTTCCTCCTTTGCTGCTCATTTCAGTTGTGTTATATATAGCCCCCATACTTGTCTACAATTGGCTTATATTTTTTCTACAAGAAAATTTTTGCTCCAGAAAGACATCTTTCCCAAAATGTATTTAAAATTGTTTACTTTGTTGATATTAGCAATAGGAAATATTGCTCAGAAACAAAACAACTTCATTTTATTATCTTGTTTTCTTCCATCATCTCTGTTTTCATGGTGCTATTGATATCAAGCTCGGCTGTTTTTGAAGATGACATTAAAACTGCAAATGAACAATCCCATGTTTAATTGGCAAGCGGTTTCCCAGGGTAGACTGAATCATCCACTAGGTCCAGAAGCTGAGGTGACTGGAGCATCCTGCCAGACTGCAGCCTTACTGCCTCTGCGCCTGACAGGCCCACATGGCCCCAGCATCCCAGCGAAGCCCTTCACACTGGAGTGGAACACTAGGCTTCTTTGTCCTTAGAGGCTGATGTCACCTGGGAATGTATGTGGCTCTTATACTTTACTTTTAGGAGCTGTGAAAAAGTACACATGGATCAGAGCATGGTTCCCTTACCTAAAAGCCCTTCAGCCTGGAAAGTGGCCCTTTACTTGTTCAGGAAGTCTTAAATACATGTAATGTGTTATTATTCTTAGCTGGAATATTTTCTCCACATGCCCACAACTTTTGAAACAGTCATTGTGTGTGCAGTCAAAATTATAACTCCATGTAAAATGATGTTACTTTAGTAGCTTTAAATCTGCAATCGCTTGCTTAGTTTACTTTAAGAGTGAGATTGGATGTATCATTATATATACTTATGTTAAGCATGTGTAATGCTGGATGTGTACAGTATAGTACTGAACTTATTTGAATCAAGTATGGTGTTCTCTGTTTTCAGCAGACTTGGGCAATCTGGATGGTTTTGTAGAGGTGTCCCCTGACTTGGTTGTACTTTTCTATGTGGTGGTGAGGATAGGCAGGCCTGGTTGCCCCAAGCTGTACCTTGAGGCATCCTCAGCCTCTTCAACAGTGGACATTTCAAAGGAATTATTAAAAGACAAAATTTCTGTGAAATAAAAACTGGTTTTAAGAAGAGCCATTTATCAGATGGATTTTAGCAATAGTAGGAATTAAAAAAATAAACACTTCATATGTGCAGCAACTGAAAATACCTCAGTGTTTTCTTGGGGCAGGGGAACGATCGTTTGAGTTGGAACATGCGAATTTAGTGTTGCTTTTGAATGATCTTTTTCAGTGCAGGAGACAATTGCTTTTTCATCTTATATTCTAGTTTTTATTTGCTGAAACAACTACAAACTTAGCTAGAGGTACACAATATTTTTCCTATCACTTCTGAAAAAGTATGTTTTTTCCTACAAGAGAATACTCTCCTCAATAAATCAATACTGGCACACTGAAATTAACATTGATATATCACTATTACCGAATCATTAAACTGCATTCAAGATTTGATCATTGTCTTCATAATGTGAATATTAATATTGAGATTTTGCTGCCTTCAAATCTTCAGAGTGGCTTCAACACTTGCCTCTCATCTCCAGGGTGGGTTTTGAGGCCAAAGAGCCTGCTCTGGGCCTCCCCCTGTGCCAACTGGCCTATCGCCCTGGTCTTTCAGTCTCTGGGCCTAGTGTCTTTAAGCATGAAGAGTTCCTCACATTAGAATTCATGGACGTAGCTCTTTTGAAGAGCAGAAGTGGTTATTTTGCAGAATGTCTCATTTGGGTCAGTCTGATGTTCCTTCAGAATTAAAACTGTGTTGCTCATCTTCTGCAGAAATCGCATGGAAATACAATTATTTAGATTTCTGACATTCCTGTTAATTTTCATTTCAGTCACTGGTGTCTCTCAAGCTTCTCCACTGTACAGCAACTATTTCCACCATTACAGTTGATAAATAATTTTGTGAGAAAATATGTTGAAGCATTGCAAATCTTGTATTCCTCACCAAAATTTCAGCTTTTCATTTGTTCGTTTATATCTGCGTGATGTCACACTTTTCTGCTTCATTCAGCTTGTCAGAACATGTTACTACCTTTATTCTGTCTTGATGCTGAAATTGTTCCATCCTTGTGGTGCAGGAGCCCACTCAAAACTGTCTTGTGCCCTCCAGTGATGTCCCTACTTTGTCTCAGGACTTCCCTGTAGAATGAGCTAGTGCAACCTCTGCTTCTGCTTTCCCTGTCTCACTGCTGGAATCAGATGCTTCTCCAGGAGCCCTCGTTCCCTGTGGTGAAAAATGGCTGTAGAAGCCAAGACACAGATGCTTCTGCTATGGAGTTTCCTGTTCCTAAAACAGGTCAGTGGCCAAACTGGGGATATGCATGTATCTACCCACACAGAGAGATGAGTAAAAAGGTTTAAACAGAAATAGAGGGCTGGCCAGATAGCTCAGTGGACTAATGCACCTTCTGAGGCAGAGTGTGGTGGCTAGGGTTCCATATCTCGCGTGCTGTGCTGACCCCGCCCCTGACGCATGCTAAAATGGCAATTGAGACTGGGCGTGGTGGCATGCATCTGTAATCCCAGAGATTAGGAGGCTGAAAACAGAAGTATCACTATGAGTCCAATCTACATAGTGAAACCCTGTAGACCCTGTACTAAATACATTAAAAGACCAACCCAGAAATATATACTTAAATGTGCATGTGTGTCTACAGATACATATGCACACATATTCGTATCTAGAAATCCATGAAGTCACACCCATACTATTAATTTCAGTCCAATGTTACAGGCTTTTTTCCCCTCTCTTTCTAGATTTATCTCTGTGTTTTATCTGTTCTTCTGCTATGAGAAGCCTGACTTTCATATTTTCAATGTATTTACTTATGTAATCAATCCCTGGTGTGAGACTTGTCTCCCACTCTATTTTTCCCCTTCTTGTGGTACCCACTCCACGTGGTACCTGCTCTCCCTGCTGGGGCTCTGATTTATCAGGCCAGCCTTCCCAGTCCTGCCACTCTCTATGCCCTGGCTCTAGCTGAATCTGGATGCCCCCATTCCATGGTTGTTCTTTTCATCTTGTTTGTGTCTCACACTCCACGATAGGTCATTGCCTCGTAAAATACCTTCTTTACCCTACCTACTTAGGGCTCCAAGGGTCCCTCGGCCCTGGATATATATTCCCATGGCTTGTGCTTTTCACTGACTACTGGCATGTATCCGTACCATTATGTTCTAATTGCCTACAGTAAGAACTGGGCTTGATGCTGTTTTTATTTTATTTTATTTTAATTAATTTATTTATTTCCAGTACTGGGGATTATCTCAGTTACTCTTCTGTCATTGCTGGGACAAATACCCAACATGCAAAATGAAGGAAGAAAAGGTTTATTTAGCTCACAGTCAGTAGAGGTTTCAGTTCATACTCAGCTAGCTCCAAGGCAGATTGGCACGTGGCAGAGGACAGCAGTTTATGGCAGCAGAAAACAGTTAGAGCAAACGGGAAGAGTAGTAACAACAATGGCTACAGAGAACAAGTCTGTCTCTCTGTCTCTCTAATATCACATTCAGGCTGTCTGCCCCAGGTTGGTTGTAGCACTCACTCACACCCATAATCCCAGCAGTAATCAGACTCATAATCCCAGCAGTACTCAGACCCATAATCCCAGTGGAACATGAGTTAATCACAAACTCTAGAACTGCATCTCAAAGACTGCATGAGGCTTTGGTGAGGGGATGAATACACACCAACCATAACAGGGATCAGGTCCAAGCACACTCTACCACTGAGCTATACCCCAATTGTTCCTTGAAATTTTAATTTTGAGTCAGAGACTCACTTAGTTTTCCAGACTGGGCTCAGACCTGCGGTCTTCCTGCCTCAGCCTTACAGGAGCTGGGATTATAGGAGTGTGTTGCTATGCCCATCTTGGCCTGACATTATCTGTAGCCATGCCTGTCTGACTCTCTTCTTCACTGCTCTGTTGATGCTTTCTTCACCTGATGGATAAACTTCTTACCCTGGCATCTTTGTCTTGCAGCTTCTGCAGGGACTTTCATGGAAACGCTCTTTTTGCCCATAGAGGGCTTTGGCAAAATAACTGTTGCTAGGCACTGGTGCTTCGTTCTTCCTCATTTATTCCTTGACTCCCATGCTTTTGAGAATACTTATTTCATCAACCCTCTTCATTTAACCTTTTAAACTCCACGTATTCCTAGCCTGAGGCCTGCTCTTCTGCCCCACCCTCCTCCTTCACCCACCGCCCATGCCAGGAGTCTTCCCACTCTGATCACCTTCTTAGGAGTATCTTGGGTTCTGATGAGAAAAATTATTTACCTTAGCAATAGGTGATGCTCTTCTCTTGTGTGATCCAAGTCTTCATCCCACTTCAACCCACTCCTCTTTCCTTTTCCACTGGGTGGAGAAGCTTTCCCTGGATGCCCTGGAAGACAGGCTGTGCTCAAATTAGCTGTTAATCAGCTTTTTCTTTTTTCCTGTGGAAAGAGGAGCTGGGGAATTTCAAATTTTCTAGAAGGATGAGTGCATCAGTATCAACATTATTCTCCTCCTGGGTCTGTGCTCTCAGTAAGACAGGGAAGAAAGTGAATTCACTCTCTCTTTCCCTAAAAGACAGGCTGTGCCCAAAGGTCTCACACTCCATGCCATGTTTTATTTCTCACTACCTTGTTGATTAGTGCTTATAAATTCAGTGTATGAATCTTAACTGTTCACCACCTTGCCATATGTTCTGTCCAAGGCAGTGAGACAGCCTGTGATCAGATCTATAAATAACCCCTCAAGCCAGTCCTTGTGGACTTTTCTCTTTCTTAGACTCTCAAAATCTGTCTACATTTCTGTCATTTTAGGGGTGTGTTCTTTCCATGACTCAGAGCCCCCCTGGCTCCCTCCGGATCCTTAGCATAGTGCTCCATAGGATTTTTTTTTTTTCTTTGCAAGAAGCTTGCGGGTGGTCAGCCAGGTTCACTAGGAAACCTGGCTTCTGAGGGTAGAGTTGGGCAAAGCCAATCAAACCATAGATATCTGACTTTTTTTCTCCTTAGGAAAAGGTAATTTTTTTA